AAAAAAAATTTGACGATAGAACACAGGAGGATGTGGAGTGAAAATCTGCGGTTTGTTTAGGGACAGCAGAGACCGGTGGGAAAAAGAAGGAGTCCAAAGGCATGGGGGAGGTGGGAGGGGACAGAGGCGATTGTTGACTGTGCATAGAAAAATAAAAGGAGTTTCGTGCTGGTCACAAACAATATCGCTAATGTTCGGCACAGTTATTGTTGCTGCTATTGCCGTTGCTTACCGAAAAAAAAAAAAGCATCGAAAAAATGCTTATTGACATTTTGAAGCAGTTAACCGGTGTAGAAGGAGAGGTACACATCTCTGTTTTGTGTGCTTGTGTGTTGTCTGTGTGACTTGCATTATTTTAGTTGCATCTATCTCATAAGTTTAAATCGTCCATTACCGCAGCTGTCCACAACTGTCAAAAATCGTAACGTTTAAGGTGCTGCATATATGCGTCATCCCCAACATCATTATCATCTTCATCATCATCGCCGTCATCATAGTCGTGGTTTTCATCCATCATTAGTACCATCTGCCCTTCTTGTTTCTCTTCACCTCACCACTTTTCGTCATTGGAACTTTGGTGGACAAAACGAAAATTGTAGCGAACAGTGATCGCTAAGTATTCCATTACCAGCGGAAAGTATAAAAGTTCTGCCCAAAAGCGATCAATATACCTTTACCACTAAGACCCGTTAGTACCAAATTTTCTCAAAATATTTATATGCAAAAGAAGGAATATGAAATGTACTATGCTGAAAACATCGTTAATTGCTACATAAATCATCTGCAAAGGAAATGGAAAATTTTAAGTCATTTTTTTCTATTTAATCACAAAATTCTCTTTAAAAGCAAAAAAACTATTGACGAAAACTGAATGTTGAACGATGTTCACAAAAGTATAAGAATAGCTTTCGTCAAATCGTATTGCACGCTACGGTTGGTCGGTAAAAAAATAAAAAAAATTTATATTACAATATCACTCATAGATAGTTGTATCAGACACATGTCAAGCAACATTGCTGCCAAGGCTTCTTTAGGGGTGATGATCTTCGAAGAGCATTAAATTGGCCAAAAATGATGCGAAAAGAGGAGGTAAATTACGATGGTGGAATTTACTGTTGACAGAATTAAATCAACAACTTTAAGTGTTCATCAAAGGCGTAGATGAGCTTATTCCACAACATTTCACATCATTTTCAGCAGTCAGTTTAACAACTTAATTTAGGTTTAAAGAGCGCAAAGCGTCAATCACTGCGCCCAAATTATTGCTGCTTTATTGCTGCTTTAACAGGCTTCTTATACACCTCTTTAGTTGTAGTTTCTGAAGCCATACATAGAATTGACTTCACTTCTCATTATTTAGCTTATTTCGCTATCTAGAAATATACTCCTCCATTAAAGTTGCTTTTAGCAGAACCATTTTGAAATATTTTCCAGTTTTGGTATAGCTACAAACACATACTTCTTTCAGGTGTTACATAGAACCAAAAAATATTTGCTCTTTACATAACCTTTTAATCTTCGTTAACCAAATGGAACACCGCCGTTCAAGTTAAAAATATTTGTCAATTTTTGCTAAGCGATGATTCAAAATGACAGTCATACAACTTCCGTAAATTCAATAGCTCTGGAATGCGGAAGCTCCAAAGTTGATTTTTTTTTGGTTGATGACCACTGTTCATCTAACTGCAAGTTCAAGTATGTCCGTATGGCTCATATCAAAACATGTAGTTCTAAATTAAACTTCAAATATTTTTCAAACGGCAACTGACTTGTCTGAGAAGTACATTTTTAAAATGCATTTCACTAGGTTCAGTTTTACTCACAGTTTACTTTCTGTTCTCCGGTATTTTCGCTTCTGTAACGCCGCTTAACTCAATAACTTTCCTAACTCGCAACCCCCACCAACAAGAATGACGAACAAAATTCTCTGGTTTTTAAAATTTGTGTTCCAAGCAGTTTTAAGAACTGCTGAACAAAGTCATAAATATAAAAAATGAAGACTTTTTGGCCCTGTTCCGGTGTTGTTGGCCCCGTCGTTTTTACTGATCGTAATAGGATGAAGCCACATTTAATGGTTATTGTTTGTTGACTTAATAGGTTGAAAAAGAAAGAGAGCCACCAAATTAAAAGACCTCTAGTCTTCCTAAGCATCTACATACTCTGTACATCCAGAAGGCTTTTTTTCGACTACTATTCTTGTTACCTCATACATCGAATCAATAAGTTCTACTCATCTAAATTAGTGTTTTTTTTTTGTTAGTTAAATCGCAACTGGTAGAAAATCTGCGAAAGGCCGTAGCTAAAGTTTTTAGATCTCTAAAGATACAACTGGAAAACGCGGCTACTGTCCACTGCATCAGATGCAGCAAAAAAGCGGCGTTTTGAAACTACGCTTGATTTACAGTAACAGTTCAGTGATACAAAAGTGGAATGGAGTTAAAGACCTTCTAGAAGAAAAAATAAAGGGTGACCGTCAACAAAAAAATGAAGCAAAAGTTTTGCGTTCGACAAACTAAAACACAGTAGTGGCACTGCCTTTGCCCAATCTTTAAAAAAAAGAAAAAAAATGCGAGAGGGCCATTTAAGGAGACTCTAATTCACAGAGGAAGCCAGAAAAACTTTTACGAGAAACTCATGAAAAGTTTATGAGGGTTCGTGACGTAAGCAGATTATTCGGTATGAAAAAGAGTGACAAAAGACCCATTTTTTGGCCTATCTAAGAGGCAGAAGAACGACGGGCAATGCGATCTGTTGCAGTATGAATAGTTAAAAAGTTAAATAAAACATAGCGAACATTTGAATACAGTACTTTAGAGCAGTGTCACAAAATTAGCCTCGCCAAATTTTTTTCTCCTTAATATGCCCTACTTTTCAAAAATATTCCCCGTAAATTTTTGCTCTCGTGTGACCTCCTGTAAAAAAAAACTTTTCTCGTCTACTGCTTCTAAATAGTTGAAAAGCCCGTCTAATTCTGAAACTCCAGAGCCTTTCACTGACTTCATACGTTGATAAATGACGAATGCAGTTGTTTTCTGTCATTCTTTTACAGCTTTTTTGACCACAGAAACAACTGCAAGGGAAAATAGCTATACTGTCGTTTTGCAATAAAGTAAAACTAAACGAACAAAAGTTTGAATATGAAGGTGGCTTCTCCTGCACACGCAGCATCTGTGAACATTTCTGAAGCAGCTACGCATGCGTTTCATCGGGCAAATTAGTAGTGTACCTCAGCATTATCAGCAGTAATGTACAGCAGAGAGAGGGAAATGGAAACAATTAAAATTTGTTACTGACCTAAACAAATTTGCCATACTGAAGATCTAGAAATGTAATCCTCTTTCCAATTTTTTGGTAGTCCAGAATGGACCTTATTAACTGAAAATGCTTTTGTGATTCTTATAAAAAAGCAGTAATTAAAAACTTAAATTAGAGTATACTTCGAATAATAATTTTCTCAAAATGATATTGTCTTTGCTACTGTGCTATCATGTTTTTCCAAACTAAAGCAAAAAGTTTTCAAAAACTGCGGCGAAATTCCTTTGTCGCTGCCTTTGCACTCATTGATAACAATCGACTGCTCTAATTAAAAAGCCTGTACCTGAATTTAGGCGTCACTTAATCAAAAGTTGTACTGTCAGTAGAAGAAAACAGTAAGCGTCAGTGGCACTATTAAAAATCTCTACTCAAATGTGAAGATAACTACTTTTTGTGCCTAATACCATGATAAACCAACAGTGCGGTGGATTAGAAAACTAAAATTACAACTAAAGTAACTAATGCTTCTTTTATTATGTTGCGAATAGAATAATGGAAATTTTTAGCTAGTCTGCTGAAATTTTAAATATTAGCCAGTTTTTTTTCTAAGCGAGAGAAAAGAATCAACGGTCTTAATCAGACATTTACACCTCCTGCCTTTTTCGGTCAGAAGACCGGCAAAGGAAGACGAGTCGATTTGAAGTACATCTTGAAGTAATATGATCTCCTGAGATAAGAACGAAAAAAAGAAGACATTTCAATGCGACGTCATTTTGTGTTCGCTCTTCATTTGTCCTGCCTAGGTTCTTGCTTTAGCTGTTCCAGTCGCTTAAAATTTTATCTGTTATACTTATCTACCATTACCTAGCTGATAGTTTACTGATAATTTATTCGGGCAGATAGGTGTTGATTTTATTGTTGAAGAGCAGCTGAGAAGACAGGTCAAAGGAAAATTGACTGAACATTTCTGAAAACCAGATGTGATTGACTATACGAGGAGGCATTGAAGAAAATTATCAGATATGAACTCTTTGAAAAGACAACCTGTGGCGTAGCCAACTGTTATCAGTCATGTACATTTGGTACTCTCCCACTCTACCTCATTTCTTTAGAACAAGTAACTTCATGGTGACTTGGTTCTTTTAGTTTTGTATCTTCTAAAAACTATTTAAACCTGAACTTTAGATATCTGACTATTTTGCAAGCTAGAATTCGAAAAAAATTTCTAAAATGGTCAGCAATTCAAGATGTAAATTAGGATTATATTTTTTAAGATTTATCTTTAAAAAAATCCGTGATGCCAATTTGAAAGTTTAATTTTTAACGATAAAAACGTTTCCAACAAGCTAATGAAATGTAGAGACTATGCACTTCTTTGTTATAGTATTTACTGTCTTTCTGAGTCACCGACATTTTGATATCAGCATTCGGTCACAACTTTAATTTAAAAAAAATGGTAAGAGAATGATACATTCAAAGAACTCCGAAATTTGATCAAACGAAACTCCGGGAAACTAAAATTAATTCAAAATACGAATGCACCTTGTTGTGTAAATATATTACCAAGACAACTACGCCTCTATGACCGCTGTCGCCACAAATGTAAATGAAACGCCAACGCAGATACCTAGAATTATTATTTAAACAAATGATCAGTATTTTGCTAAGTCACTAGAAACTGTTCCCAAAGAACCACATTTTGATGTTAAGAAGTTCAGTTGTACAAGATGTAGAGTGAAAATCAATCACATACCGCTAGCCAAGGAGAACGCAGCCATCATGCCAGCAATAGGAGCTTTTGAAGGTTCCACAACCCTAAAACTAGTGTTAATAATAAAACAATGTTTTTCGTTCCTGAGAAGATACCAGTAATTAATAGTTGGAGAAAGTTAGATGAATAAACTGCTTTTGCGAAGATATTTGAAGATTATAAAGTGATCTAAGGCAGTTTCTCAATTTCAACTCACTTAGAAGCATACATCATTCCTAGTGAACTGAGATAACCGCTAGTGAACGACATTATGATAGCAAACATTATATAAACGTATTCATTTGGAATAAGAACTGGCCATGTCCGACGCTCCGGTCGAAAATTGCAAAACATCATGGTCGGAATAAACAGAAGTCGTAAAGCAGATGGGATGATTATAAAGCGAGGAGATGGCTAAATCAAAGTAACACAATTTTAAATTCAAAATTAATGGCTAAAAAAATTAGGAATGAAAAAATTCTAACCCAATGTACTCTATTCGCGGTTGCTGATCCGACCAAAGCAAAAACGTTGAAAAGCAAAAATGTAGTAATGGGAGTAAATAATTTCTCTGAAACCGATCTTCTAATAATGCTCATCTTCAGCTTATGTGTAAGGTGATTGAATCAGATTTGAAGGCAAAGAAAGAGTGAAATTAGTTTGGTAAACCTGGAATAATAAAATCGTAGCTATCTTTTCTCTTGTCCTGGTGAAAGGGTTTGACGTTAGCCATTATTCCAGGAAATATGGTAAGTGTTACGGTAAACACAAGAAAGATGGACAGACATTGGACCCAACACTAAAACTATACGCTTTAAAGGCCATTCCTTTAAAAACAAAAAGTTCTAGAAATGGCTTTAACAACGCTGAACATCAGAAAACAGTCCATTGCACCAAGTAATTGAATCATTTTCGTTCCGCTTTATTTTTAAACAACTACTGAAAAGTTTAAAATTTGCCAACCTACTATCCTAGAAGGGCTATTTACAGCACTGGCTTAACTACAGATTTTGCAGTCCTTTAGTCAAATCAATAAATTTAAGCGATATATTTCAACTTGAGCTCATTTAAAGTAACTGTAAAATTTATTTACTACACCCACTTTTAAACAAATGTATCCGCATTAAAATCAACCTTAGTTTGTTTAAAACTACTCTGCGTCAAAGAAAACCTACACAAATACAACGAAACCAGCTTTGTTGCTTCAAAGATAATATTTTGTCACCTGCTTAAAGGTTGACGTATACAATTTCGCCTTGCTGTCATTACACGTAAGCGCAGCTTTCTCCCGATTCTGCTTATGGCTTCTCATATAGTACTTGTAAAAGTCCTAAACAGCATTGTAAAGCCAAATTCTTTCCTCTGATCAGTCCTCATATTTATAACCCAATATAGAAGTGTTGAACTACTAACCAGTCGAGGCAATATCAGAAGCGATATGAAGCATAATATTATTGTTGTGATAGAAATTATAAAGTAAGCTAATGCAGCATCCGTTACACTACCTTCGAAAACTAAAACTTGGAAAATATAATATTAAAAAAATTTTTTGGTTGATGGGAAAAAATTAAATACTAATCACTGTATAAAAGTCACGATATTAATCTTGAAGGAAAATATTTCAAAACTAGGAACTTTAGAACCTCTAACAA